ACACTATATTTCTTCTATATATAACTTTTAGGTTAGATTATTGTGGAATTGCTTTCCTAATTATGGGATCATTTGTACCCTGGTTGTATTATGGTTTCTATTGTCACTATCAGCCGAAAGTGATTTACTTATCAATTGTTTGCGTGTTGGGTTGTTTGTCCATAATTGTGTCTCTATGGGATAAATTTTCTGAACCTAGACTACGACCATTACGTGCTGGAGTTTTCATGAGCTTTGGTTTATCTGGAATAATACCTGCAATACATTATAGCTTAATGGAAACCCAAATTAAACAAAGTAGCTTAGGTTGGCTAACACTTATGGGTATGTTTTTATTTACAATAATTATTTGATTTAGTTAAATTATAAACTATTTTATTCTGTATTTATAGGTTTACTATATATACTGGGAGCAATGTTGTATGCATTACGTGTACCGGAAAGATGGTTTCCTGGAAAATTTGATATATGGGTAAGAATATAATAATTACCTAAAATCAAGCAAGAGCAGATATAATTTGTTTTATTATTTAAGTTCCAGTCACATCAGCTATTTCACATACTAGTTATTATAGCTGCCTTTGTACATTACCATTGCATATCCGAAATGGCGATGCATCGAGTTACGGTTGGTGAATGTGCAGTACCGCATGAGCCTATTACGTTTTAAATTCAACGTTTTTTAAAAACAGACTTTTGTATAATATGTCAACATTACAACAATAATAGAGAGCGTCAAAAAAAAAATAAGTTTACAATAATCAAATCATTCACAAATGCATAATAATTTCAATTTATTAATTACTCATCAATTAGAAACGTAAAGTAGCAAATTCGATCAATTTTACTGTTTGTTATACATTTACTATTTGTTAATGTATCTTAAATCGAAATAAAAAATTAGTTACCACACTTAAAACATTTTAGAATTTAAACTTTATAATAAAATTAGTTATTCTTAAAAGATATATCTTTAATTGGAAAAGTTGAATTATTGAAAATAATATTTAGAATATTCCTCAACGCTTTTCTTTATCATTCCATAAGCCCAATATTAGTTTATTGTTTGTTTTAATATTTATTACAATATAAAAATCGATTTAATATAAAAAAATAGCTCCACGTAGAACATTTAAAAAATATTTTTTGGATAGTATTTAATTTTTGTTGTGTAATTTTAGTTCAAAAAATTGTGTTTTTGTTTATGTTATAAAATTTTATATAAAAAAGGGCTTATGAAATAAACTCTATAGCAATGTTTAAATTACAATTAAATCTAAATTCGTTGTTAATGAAAAATTAGAACATTTGAAAATAATATATGAATCGTATCTAGAATAGTTTTTTATTTAAGTTCATTTCAATGTGTAATATTTCAAGTCATTGCACATCCTTAAATTATCATTATAAACTTGTAAAAGCATAAAGGCAAAAACCATTATTAAAAACATTAATAAATAAAATAAAAATGAAATAAAAAACGAATAAATATTCTTGTATTAATGTATGGTGTGTCATAATAACTGCTATAAACGCACCATTATAAGAATGGAGGCCCTAATGTCGCCAAAAATCAAAATTTTTTTATGTTTCTCTATATCTGCTATACAGAATTATTGCCCCAAGCTTATTGACTGTCATTAACGTAAATAATGAGTTGCAAAATTTTAAATTTGACTTTGACCTGATCGACTAAACGTTTTAATATCGCTTTTAAATTTTTTTTTATTCACATTTGAATAACATAAAACTGCGATACATGATCAGCAAATGAAAAAAGAATATGAAAATCAAAGAATAATTTTGCTTATTCATCATATTTTACTTATTAGCCGACTAATTCTGGATTCAGGGTGTTGATCATTTTTTTTTTCTCCAATAAAATTTTATCCAAGTTTTTTATTTTAATTTTATAAATGAAAATTGTCAGTAATAAAGAAATATTATTGTGGATAATGTGATAGATTTAATAAATATTTAAGTGATATTATTTTAACTATGATTAAAATACAGTTATAAAAAATATGTATATATAAATAAAAGAGACCGTATGCTCAGTGTCTAATTTTGTTGGCACTAGTCATTTTAATGTTGTTGTTGTTAGTACGGGTTGATGTTCGTGTTTATCATATTGGCTTTATGACTCATGTAAAAACTAAAAATACTGTTATCAGCTTTGAGGTGCTGCCAAATTCCAGTAGCAATGGATTGTAACAATTTTTGTCGTCGCTGCTATAGTTATTAAAGCAATTGAATGTACCGATATTTCTCTACATATCGTTCCATATAATTATGTTGTTTTCCAAAATAGAATCCCAAGTGTATACTTAGCTTTACTAATTCGTAACTTCATTATAATAACATTATCACCAATTCTACTAGTTTTCTACTATTCCTACAAACGTGTTTATGTTGCTTAAAATATTTTCATTCCAATGAAAGGAAAAGAAATCGAACTATATTACATATAAAAATATCAACATTTTAAACTATAATTTAAACGATATATGTATATCTTAAAGCGGATGCAAGTGAAATTGATAACGATGATTTTATTGTACACATCACTGGTTATTTGGGTTCTGTTACTATAGTATATAGTATTACTATATACAGAACGGTTGCTTGTAAGTAGATGGCTCGAAGTAAAAATTTCACAGCGCATTTAAATAATGTTTAAGGTATTATTAAATTTAAATTTTGTTATGCTAATAAGATTTTCGCTAACTAAATAACTGCAAAATAACATTCATCAGATGCCATTCACACTAACAAGATTTGGTTTAATGCAAGAATTGAAAGTAAAAAAAGTAGCAAATTGGTAATATCTGCGCAAAAGAGTAATCTTACACTTAGACGTGTATTGGTTGATATTTTTTTAATATGGGATAAGCATATGTGATATCTAATGATGTTTAAATTTTATAATAACTTAGCTTTAAATTTAATTGGTTTTTATATATTTACAGAATTGTATATATATTCGAAATTTCTGTTACCAAAAGTAAAGTTTATAATAAATGTTTATTTCATAGATTTTGTTTTGATTCACCATTAGATGTAAAATACGCGACTTAGATATCTTTTCTACAGAACTTTTTACAGTACTGAATTCTTTTAGATAATTGTCGAAGACATCGACAAATCATTGACAAAAACTTAACATTTAGTTACGGCAGATGCTCGGTTTGTGGCAAAACGTGAAATTATAAATGCATTGAGAGGAAATGTCTTCTGCAACAAAGCCAAAACTGGTCATATTGTATAACTTGTAACACTGTTCTGTTAAAAACATATGACTTCCATGTCTTTAATTGGAAATCATGTGACCTTTCTCACAGTGGCGTCGCTAGGCGTCAGCGATGTCGGCGCCCGCCGACGGCCTCGCGTCCGCAGGGGCCTCGCAAAAAGGCTTCTAAGCACTTAATAAATATTTTGAACAACTTGGTTTGATAATGGCATTAACCATATTCGAAGTTTTCTCGAATGTTTATATAGTAATCAGATTCATGTTCACAGTTTCAGTCAGTATAGCTTCGACAAAAAGAAAGAAGCAAAGTTAAAATTGTTTAAGACGTACTAGAAAAGTATTATGATCCAAGAGAGACCATCTTCATTGGAAATTCTGTAAACTGAAGCAAAAATAGCAGCTGGCGTAAATTATTATATAATTTAAAAAAAAAATTGAGTGAGGCTAAAAGAAGGAAATTTCATATATTTTAATTTGATTAGCGATAAAACTTTTAACCATGATTTGTCGTATTAGTGAATGTAACTTTTTAATTTTTACAACTGGGTTATAAGAGGGGCCTCGCAATTCTGATGTCGCCGACGTGCAGAGTTGGTCTAGCTCCGCCACTGCTTCCTCATATGCAAAATAAAACGGACCTATCACATCTTTAAATCAAATGCTTCACTATACAGTCAATTTTTGTCGGTTCAATGGTTTTTCGACAGGTATTTACATCCACGAAGTAAAAATCAGTTTTTGTTAAAAAAATATTTCATGCAATATATACCTACTCTAGATTAATCATTGTTTCATAGTAAGATTTCATAATTTTAACATGTTCAGCGGTTGTTGAACGATCTATATTTTAAAATGGCAAACCTCAAACTAAACAAATCTGGAGCCTAAAATGGATAATCTTTTATATAGGTTATTTTCTAACAGTTATTAATATCATTGCATTATCAGGGATACGAATAGCGTAAAGCATCATCTATAACACATAAATAAAAAGGCTACTAAAATATAATAATGATTTTTTATAAACACTATTACAATATAATTATCTATTATTTAGTTTTTCTGTAGAAAATAAATAATTCAAGCTACAAATGCGTTTTTATAATTTGTTTAATTCTTATGAACCTTTTTGCAATATTTTTTGGCATTTTTGTAGTCTTGATCAATTAAACTATTTCTTGGCTTTAACAGTTTGAAGGTGGAGTTCAATGCCGAACAATGATGAAGCAAAAGTTCATGACTTGTCCGATAGGTGCACTAAACTTCGAAAGCAGCGCTCTAACGCAAGCCACTTCACTAAGCCATCGATATTCGCTTAGATATTCTCACTTATGTTTTTCTGTGGTTTTAATTGATTTTTAGCTTTTCAAACATTTTTATTTCGTTAGCCGTGCTTAGGCTGTGTTATTGAAAAAGTTATGGTCAAGGTACTTTGCATAATCTTTTAAGATAAAAAACCGTTCTCCTCATGGTTTATCTAAAACCACATAAACTAATGCATATACCAAATACTTAATTACAATAGAATTACTATACTTAACAAAAATGAATCCGTGTCAGTTGTTAATTAATTTGAAGTCGATTTGTAGTGCAGACTGTTGATGTGTATCATTTCACATATTTGCCAATTCAAATATTTTGTCTTATTTATATCTTTTAACTCATTCTAACCTTATAACTTTTAGTGGGGATTCTTCGTCTTTACTTAACATATTTTTGTTGATTTCTCAACTATTTTAGCATTCAACAAATGGACTTTGATCTCTTATCCCGCATTGTTTGGCATTAGTAATTCATATTTGACGAATTTATAAATTGAATTAGTATTTATTTTTAGAAGGGTGTGGCTATTGCAAAAATCCAAAAAAACCTTAAACATCTATGCCTAAACTATGAAGATTAAAGATAAATGCAATTACATGTTTTTAAAAAAAATTGTACTTCTCAGCTGGTTTAGCTAAAACCTTTAGAAACACCCACAGTGCATGGAAGGTTACTTTATGCACTGCAACTACCATTGCTTAGTGTGCCAACAACAGAGCTAACGATTATAAAATATACAATTAGAAATACATTCGTTTGGGCTTAATATGTACTTTTAATTATAATTAAATGATTTATAATACAAATTGCTTAATTATGTTTTAACTTGAATTTTAATTAATGAATATGATCACACATGATATACCAAAAGTGTAACTATTATTAATTAACTTTTTTAGGTCACATTAAACAAGTGAATTTTATTAATCGATACAAAAGTTAGAAACTCAAAGCATATATGCACTTTAGCAAAAATTACCAATCCGAATAGTATGTCCATAGATATATTCTCCTAGGTGTACAGTATAGGCATTCTGTTATAAAATAAAATTGGACTCTATTATTGTAGTAGGCAACTGGATTATTGCATAAATAATTTCCAATTTTAAATTCGTTTTGGCATTCTTCTTATCAATGTCATGGTTGACGTGCCGGGGATGATAGAATCTTAGGATTTTCATCTCAATGCTCGACAAACGATATTGCTA